CCCAGTCCCTGACACCTGAGGGATCTCAGAATGCTAATAAATGGCCTATTTTTCTCCTCCAGTGTACCCCTCTCTCTTTTTGTTCCCCTTTTTTCTTGTACATCCATACTTTCCCACAACACCAGAAGCAGCAAAAAATGCAATATCATTAGAATTTGTTGCAAAGGAAGAAGAGACATTTCAATTATTTTTTTCCCAGTCTCACCTCTCTGACTTAAATGCCTTTCTTGGAAATTGGATTCTTGAGTACTTAGGGGCTGATTGAGTACTTGGTGGGCTGGTCATGCCCACCAGATACCCTCTGCCACTATTGGGGTCTACCAGCTGGCTCATACCCTCATTGTTTTCTTTCCTAGCTGTTTTCAAGTCTGTGTTAACTATTTAAATTGATACTCTCAGCTTATTTATTCTTTTCTCTTCACTTACAATGGCGATTATCCTAATGAAAATTTTAAGTTTTTGTGTTCCACTGAAATAAAGCCTCTATGACTTCTTAAATCTATAGCAAATAGTAATCTTTCTTCATTTGGGTTTTATTCCATCTAGTGTTAGCACACCTGGTGACAGTACCACCTAAAAAGACACTGGAGGATATATTCAACTGTTGCCATAGAAACCCTACCAATAGCCTCAGTTACCATGCTTCACATCTGTAGTTAGTCCATAGGTTAATCGTCACAATTTATGACAGTTTTGCAGTATATTCTTTAAGCTCCTATCTTGTTGGTTTTTTTTTTTTTATTTTTTTTTGTTTTTTTTGAGGGGACACTGTGCTGTGGTTTTTGCTTTTGTGAGAGCATTTTTGTATTGTCCTGTGTATTATTTTCTGTTTAAAACTCGTTACTATAATTTTGTGCTATAATAAACATTAATTGAAGATAATTCAGTGTAACCCAATTTTAAAGCCTTGGATTTGGTTATGTTATTGACTTGAAAGCATGTTTTTCATTTGATCCAGATGATGCCTCTGTGTCTCCCAAGAGTACAATGTAAGATATGTTATGCCTGGAGAAAACTATATGAAGATATGCTGTTATAAGAACAATAAACTATATAGTATTTTAATGATATCTGATCTATTTTATTTTAGTCCGTGAGAGAACTTTAAAGGGAAAGATTGAGGGGAGGAAATGGGGAAATGTAGGTCAAAGGACACAAAGTAACAGATATGTAGGATGAAGGTGTCTAGAGATCTAGAGTCAATAAAATTGTGTCATATTGGCAATATTTGCTAAATAAGTGAATTTTAACTGCTCTTATCATACAAAAAGCAATTACGTGAGATGGCATCAGTATTAATTTGCTTCACTATGGTAACCCTTTTTACTAATTTCACTGATTTATACTATTTATAAGCATTCCATAACGTCATGTCATAAAGCTCAAATATACACCAAAAAGAGTTATAAAAAAAATGAAACTTTGGCTGGGTGCAGTGTCCCACCCTTGTCATCCTAGCACTTTGGGAAGGCTGAGGTGGGAGGATCACTTGAAGTCAGGAGTTTGAGATGAGCCTGAGCAAGAGCAGGCTCAGTTTCTACAAAAAAATAGAGAAATTAGTCTGATGTGGTGCTGCTGCGCCTATAGTTCAATTACTTGGGAGACTGAGGCAGGATTACTTGAGCCTAGGAGTTTGAGTTTGACACCACTGCACTCTAGCTCAGGTGACAGAATGAGACCCTGTCTCAAAGAAAGAACCTTTAAATAGTATACATCTATTTCTCCCCTCTGGCTTTGAGGCTGTTGTTACCATGAACTTTACTTTTCACTGTTATAAATACTAGCGTGTATTAATGCATTGCTATTATTTTCATTTAAAACAAGGGCCAAAGGGCCAGCAGACTAACTCCAACTGCCTGTTTTTGAAAATAAAGTTTTACTGAAACACAGCCAAAAACAAACAAACAAACAAAGATTTCTGACACAAGTCAAAACCGTTGCCGTTTTGGTTTATTTTTATTTCTTCATAAATTCATGGAAACTAGTGCTATACTGGCACATGGTGAAGTATTTTGCATAAAATGTCTTGAGTTGTGCTTATCTGATGTAGAAAGAAAGAAGTAGAGATGCTTGGTCTTTATAGCTTGTGTTTTGTTTTATTTTATTTTATTTTCAAGACAGAGTCTTGCTTTGTTGCCCAGGCTAGAGTGAGTGCCGTGGCGTCAGCCTAGCTCACAGCAGCTTCAGACTCCTGGGCTCAAGCAATCCTACTGCCTTAGCCTCCCAAGTGGCTGGGACTACAGGCCTGCACCACCATGCCCGGCTAATTTTCGCTATATATATTAGTTGGCCAATTAAATTATTTCTATTTATAGTAGAGACGGGGTCTTACTCAGGCTGGTTTCAAACCCCTGACCTTGAGCAATCCGCCCGCCTCAGCCTCCCAGAATGCTAGGATTACAGGTGTGAGCCACTGCGCCCGGCCTATAGCTTGTGTTTTAAAGATAGGATAATCCCTAAGAACGCATATCACTTTCTTAAGATTATAGCCTTGGAGTGATTCCAGGGTTTTTGTTTCTTTAATAAAAATTTTAGTGGGTTTGCTTGCCTGCCAGTTTTTTCAGTGCCAATATAAAGTCTGTATATGTGACTTAAATTGCTATCATGAATATCATTTTTATCAGTAATGGTGATTGTTGAAAAAATAAGTTTCTATTCACTTGTGTGATTTGGAAAGGCTTGTCACATTAGTAAATCTATGATTTGGAGTTGTATTTCATGAGGAAAACACATTATAAATTCATGAAATATATGACTTATAGAAATGAACTATGGACTCATTTGTTTTCAGAAACTTATATATATATTTTTAAAGACTGAATGCAGATTTAGAAAAAAAATGCTTCTACAGTCTAGGTGCAGTGGCTCATTCCTAGCACTTTGGGAGGCCAAGGTGGCAGGATCACTAGGGGCCAGGAGTTCAAGACCAGTCTGAGCAACATAGTGAGACCCCATCTGTCCAAAAAGTAGAAAAATTGGCTGAGCGTGGTGACACACACCTGTAGTTCTAGCTACTGGGGAAGCTGATGCAGCAGGATCTTTTGATCCCAGGAGTTTGAGGTTGCTGTGAACTATGACACCACTGTACTGTACCCTGGTGACAGAGTGAGACCCTATGTGAAAAAAAAAAAAAAAAGAAAAATTGCTTCTACAAACTTTTATAGTTAAAAAAAAGAATTGTGGATCTTTTTCCTCTGAGATATATTATATATCCTGTATTCAATGCATAAGCCATTAATGGATGTTATCTTTAACTGCTTCTTATAACCTTCTCTGGTGAAAGAAATAAGAAATAAAATTCAGCAGATGTTTTATAAAACTGTAATTTAATTTCATAAAGGTGATACTAAAAGAATTTTTGTACTTAGATAAAGAAATGAAGATTCTGAAATAAATTTCTTAAAACACAAAATAACCTTCCAATTTTATAATGTGCTTTGCATTTTTTCAATATTCTGCCTCCTACTCATTTGGTATTATTTCACATGATCATATATTTAACTTTATATTAGAAGACTGTCTGATGAAAAAAAAAACATAAGAGAAGTCGGATTGTCTCATTTCTCAGTTCAGGAAAAGCAGTTTTGTGTTCATCCAATTAATACTAATTTATCACATGCAATGTATTTAATCATTCAGGTAGATAATTATTAAATGTAAAGGAATACACATGCTGTTTTCTCCATGGCACATAACCTCATACATTACACATCAATAAACTGCCATTCATCGCTTACTTGCTACATTCACCTTTTGATATCTGTCATTGACATGAGATGTACATTAGATTGTGTATCTTTTTTTTTAAATGTGATTCTGAGGACCCTTCAGCTTGAATTATATAGTTCTTCCATCCACAAATATGGCTGAAAGTTGAACTTGACATGGATCAATATGATCTGGACTAAATATCTAAATGTGACTGATTATGTTAGCATCATGTCCACAGATCAATATTGAGTTTTATTATGAGCCTGAGTCTATAATTGGGTTTAATCAATACACTTTTGTCTCTTTTCCTTTACCATTTTAGGATTGTGCCATGTAGATTTTTAGAAACCACATTTAGCTTACATTTAGGACTCTGCTTTTCTTATGACAGACCAGAAAGAGATCTATCTATGAATGTTAAGGAACAATGGAGCTTCAGCTCTACCATTGTGAGAAGAGTCCACTTTTATCTTGATAAATGATTTCTTGCTCAGTGTGCACTATGTTTCTAACAGAGCTAATGTAATAACACCCAAGCACTCCTTTGGGTAGTATGTGGCTTTTTCTCTCTATACTTAGGAAATAACTCACATTGAAGACTTTGACAAAACATACCATTAATGAAAGCAATCATAAAAGCTTGCCTTTTGATAAACCCGCAGGGTCTACAGGCGTTGAAAGATGCAATCTGTAAAGAATAATAAATTTGGGCCTTTGATTGAAGTGCCATTTGGGACGTTATGCTTTGTCTGCATATTTGCACAAACATGATGCTCCCTTTTTTATGTCTCTTAAACTTGAAGCTTGAGAGCGCTCATTGCCATTTCTACATTAAGGTTGGTCCCATTAAAAGCTCCACACAAAAAGAAGACTGGAAGTGATCCAGCTGAAGCTTGTGTGTTCATTTCTGCCCTAGTTTGCCATTTGGAAAGCAGGCTTCTGGCCATCATTGCTGTTTTCATGAATAGACCTTGGGTCTGTTCTAGTCAATTCCATCAGTAAATATATACTTAAAGTACATCAACTTTTCTCAAAGTTGGAAAATAAGAAGTAGCTTTGAATGAAAATAGAATTTCTTCATTCTAAATGATTGATGGATTTTTTTTCCTTTCATATTAGACTCCAAAAACCTTGCAATTTGTGTTAATATGCTGAATTCTTGGCATATTTTATGTGATAGAAGTTAGTCTTCTGTTATTATGAGGCATGAATTTTGTGTTCTTCAAAAACTATGTCCATTATTAAACCAGAGAAATAAATGTACTATACATACTTTTCTGAATTTACAGATGCAGACCGTTTTCAGAAACATGGTATGGATGAGTTTATTTCTGCTAATCCTTGCAAGCTTGACCACGCCTTCCTTTTTAGAATACTCCAGAGGCAGACTTTGGATCACAGACTGAATGATTCCTATTCTTGCTTGGTGAGTACAAGTCCCTCTGTCTAGTCCTCTATAGGTAGAATAAAAGACTATAGAAAGTGAGAAATACTTGTTATAAAGTAGCATCTTATTCCCAACTTATTTGATAACTGCAGTTAGAGTTAGGGATAAAGGATTCCAAATCGATTGCTGCCCAATTTGAAAATTATACACTTGAAGATGACTGCTGTGCCCTCAGTAGACAGTAGAATAAATTCAAATAGAGGCTAAACTGTGGTTTATCAGTCCCTCTAGAGAAGGTTGAGTGAAAGCAGAAGACTTTACATACAGATTTTAGAAACCTCTGTTATAGCATTTACTAACAGCCGTACAGACATTTTAAGGCTTAAATTCTGCTCCCCAGATGTTGATACTTGCATTTCTCTTCTTTGTTCTTAGGACAACCTAAGTGGCAGGGGAAAAAAACAGTAGAATAAGCAATATGATGGGGGCTATACATGACACAGGAAAGTTTTAGTTTCACCTGGCCCTCCAAAGATAACTTGAATTCCATAAAAGAAAGGGAGAGTGTAAATTAAATTGAGTGAAATGTCACCTGGTATGTGTTGAAACTATAACCAAAATTTGGGATAAAAAGTATAATTTGTACTTAGAAGGAATGCTTGACACCTCAGAATGTGAGGACTAAACTTTGTAGCCTAAAAATGAATTATCTGTGTCTTTCCAAGGATTTATAGTGTCAACAGCACTATAATAATTCCTCTAGAATTTTTCAACCAGAATATTCCTATTTCTGAAATCACTTTAATCTCTTGAACACAGAACATAATTCCAGTTTGAGTAGCCCTTATCTAAAATTAAAATGCATGGAACCAAAAGTGTTTCAGATTTTGGATTTTTTTCAGAATTTAAAATATTTTCGTTATACATCCTGGTTGAGCATCTCTAATATGAACATTCAAAATCTGGAATACTGCAATGAGCATTTCCTTTGAGCATCATGTACGTGTTCAAAAAGTTTTGGATTTTGGAGCATTTCAGATCTTGGATTTTTGAATTAGGGATGTTCAACCCTTAACTGCAATAAAATTACATTCTCTCTAAAATAAGATTTTGGACAGGATGTGCTCCCAACTTATTGGAAATACTTCCATAGAGAGAAAGAAGTGAAACAACTTTTTGCTATAATCACACTAACAATTCATTAGTTCCTTTATAGATTGTTTCTTAAGTAGCTATTCTACATGTGATTGTATAGTTTAAACCTGATCCAGCTCAAACTTTACATGGAGAACAAAACAAATCATGACAAAACCCTGTGTGTTCCGTGGACAAGTACATATTGAGTGACCATTAATAAGGGACAGTATCCTCTTGGATTCCACTGAAAGGCAATATTTATTCAATTATCAAAAGTTGTTTTGATTTTCTTGGTGATCCCAAGTGTAATATGGAGTCTGAAGAGAACACTGCATTGTCTTCCACTGCACCTGGAGGGGAGTGAATGTGATGTGATCAGAAAAAGAGTGTTTGGAGGCAGGATGACCCTGGATGTAAACCATGGCCCCGCAGTTGATTTGCGTTGCAGTCTTGGACAATTCACTTAATATCTCTGAACCTTAGTTTATTTATCTGCAACATGAAAATCATAATAATTACCTGTATGATGGTTCTAAATATTAAAGATGTAAAATATGCAATATGTCTAGTATAGTACCTGCACATTGCCACAGAAAGTATCCTGGTGGTATTTTTTCTCCTCTTCCTCCTTTTCTTTATCATCCTCTCATCTTTCTCTCTTTCTCACTGTTCTTTTTCTTCTCTTGCACAATTATCTTGCCCCCTTTTAAAGCCCTCCATTCTCCCTTCTCCTCCTTTAGTACCTTAAATTACTTAAATTATAAATCCATATAATCCATTGAGATATGTTATAAACCAAGTCTGCCTAACCCTGTTCTCTAATGTTAGCCACACAGCTGCCTGCGTGCACACACACACATTATAACATCTCATTTCAGGAGGCTCAGAAACTACTAATGTGAAACATCAGCTCTGTTATATTGGTTGTATTGTTTGTTACAGAAAGACAAACAGAATGTCAAAAATATCTCAGATATTAAAGCTTCCAAATAGTACATGTATACCACTGCTAGACTTACTGAAATTTTCTTTTAGTTCACTTTATTAAATGCTTTTGGTAAGTAGGCAATTTCAATTTTAGTGTCTTCATCACCATTCTCTTATTAATTGATTCATAGAGAGTGAATATTTTTGGAATATCACACTTTGTGACTGACAGTTTCGATCCTGTGAATAAATTTGACTAATTTTGAATAGCAGTCGAGAAGAACAAGTTGCCCATCCCTTGCAGTAGCAATAAAGAGAAAAAAAGCATTAGGTGGCCAGTGTCCTAAATTGGTTTCAAATTTGATGACATGAGCTCATCTAAAAATACTATGAAATATAACACTAGTAAAAATAAATGTCAAAAGACACTTTTATGCAGCTTCTGCTTATAATGCCTAAAAGTGCTTACAGGCAAGGGAATCATAGTATAGAAAGAAAAATATTTATCATTTCTTTTTTCTCTTGCAGGGTTGGTTTAGCCCTGGCCAAGTCTTTGTGTTAGATGAGTACTGTGCCCGTTACGGTGTGAGAGGCTGTCACAGGCATCTCTGCTACCTTACGGAACTGATGGAACATTCAGAAAATGGTGCTGTCATTGACCCTACCCTGCTCCATTACAGCTTTGCATTCTGTGCCTCTCATGTGCACGGCAACAGGTATTTTTACTTGCAAACACGCAGTGAAATGTATGGGGTTGACTATGAAAGAGAGAGAAAAATGTGCTTTGCCATTATCACCTAGTAACAGCTTTTAAATAGCAAACACTTCTTAAAAGGAAATAAAAATAACAAAGGAAAAATGTACATCAATATGCCGTTGATTTACGTGGGCTGCGCTTTGGTTTCTTTGCTGGTTAAGCCACTTGAAAGACAGAGAGAGAGAAAAGGTCTATGAGATTAGAACTTGCCTTTTAATTCTTATGTACCACCTAGTACTGGGGTCTGCACAGCTTAAGTGTCCGTGTGATTCTTATTGCGGTGCATGTGTGTGCCTGGATAGGATTTGTTGATAGATTTGTGCATACTTAATGATGCTTGCTTTTCCTCTGTGAAATAAACTCTTGTTGACAAAACAGGATAAATAATGGGGTTTATGTAGTGTCTCCTCCCAGCCCTTTCCCTAATCTACACTTTAGGAGCAAGTATCCCCTTTTAGCCCTCGGATCCAGTGACCTCACCTCTTGCTTCACCAAGAAGACAAAATAAATCACCTAATGTCGGCCCCTACAACTATATATCTCTGGGCTTAAAAATCTTCCCATGTCACTCACCTTCTCTTCTCTTAATTTTGTCTCCAGGGAGCCTTTGCGAGGCCTCCTTCTATAAAGGAGGTGCCCCTCATCACATCCTTTTTGACCTTGCTTTAACCATTACTCATCTCTCCCTCTTTACTTTTTCATTTTCATTCTTTTCACAAACCTATCTAAGCTTCAGGGAGCTTCACAGCATAATATAGTGACTAAGAGATTCTGAAGTCAGACCATCTAGGTTCAAATTAATACTTACTGTGTGGCGTTGGACATGTTTCTTAATCAATTTGTGTCTCAGCTTCCCCACCTATGAGAAAAGCATAATAATAGTATTTCTCTCATAAGTCATAAATTGTGGTAGATATTAAACATGTTAATAGATGTCAAGCATTTAGAATTGCGCTTGGCCTATGAGTGTTCAAAAAAGTGTTATCTAATAGTTTATATTATCTTACAAATTGTCCTATCAAGCTACTATTCCATTGCTCCCTTTATCTTCCCAGCCAGATTTCTCTGACTATTCCCTCTGTCTTGTTTCCAGCTCCTCGCTTGCTGATGTAGCCTCCTGAAATGGGTTTCCTGATGACCCAATCCAGTAGCCTTCACTCATGCTTTACCCTCCTTCTTCTCCCCTTGTTTATTTTTATTTTTTTGACCATTTCTTTGCCAGTAGTTTCAGTTCCTCCAGATTCCTAAGAGCAGTGTAGTGTTTTTCTCATATCTATTCTCAAACTTCATCTCTTCTTTCTGATAATTTTTCCACATCAGTGATCTCACCCCCTTCCACAGCTTCTACTATGACTTCTCCATATACAGATAATTCCAACCTGATTGTTCTTCTCAAGTACAGATCTCTGCTGACAACTGGTAGCTTAAATGTCTTGCTCACACTTTCAGTTCTCCATGTATACAATTATTATAAATCCATCATCTCACTAAAGCAGTTCCCATACCTCTTGTAGCTCCTAGCAGAGTACCTGATAAAAAACAACACTTTTGGCATAAAATAAGTTCTCAGTAAATATTTTTTAATAAATGAGTGACTTCATTATTTGTGTGAATATCTTTTCTATTAATGGTACATTAATTTTTTACTCATCTTTTTCTTTTACCTCCTAGACCTAATTTGTTGCCAGTGTCAATATTATATCTCCAGGACCCTCAAATTTCTCTTTTTCTATAATATTTCCATTATATCTACCCTAATTCTGGCCTTCCTTTTGTTTTTGCCTATACATCTTAATTCATCACTCTACTACTTTTTCCTTTCTATAGTATTCTATCCATCACCCTCGAAATTACAGATTAACTTTACCATACCCCTTTCCAAAAAAACTCCAGTGATTTCCATTCAATTATTAAATAAAAAATCCAAGCTACAGTAGCAACATTTTCCCATTCTCATCCTATGCTATCTACTCAGTAATATTACCCCAGATAATGTGTTTGTTTTCCATGGAAAGTTTCTTTTTCCCCCCCAGTATCACAAAACTCCTCTCAGAAGACTTCTGTTAACTTATTCAAACAGTAAAAACCTTTTATCTGTACTTATCTCATGACCTTTGTCACATGTACTTGTGTGCTAGATGCACACATGCACACATGTGTACACACACACCTGCTTCTATTCCACTAGATCATTGTGAAGGCAAAAACTAGTTTTTATTATCCTCCACATACACAGTGCTTTGTGTATTGTGGGTACACAATAAATACTTGTTAAAGTCCCCAATGCTGCCATTTTTCAGCCCATGATAAGACTGATCCTACCTAGTCTGTCTATTCAGGCTTTCACCTCATTATGGAGCCTAGCCTTGCTTGGAAATTAGGAGATAGTTGCTGATTGTAGTCATTTTTTCCTTTATCCCAGACAAAACCCTCTGTGCTCAGCAAATGTGGGGGTACATGGGCCAGTCAGGATAACTAATCTTTGATAGCCAATGTCAGGAGCTGTTTTCCTAAAACCATCTGTTATCTCCTCACTCTGTCTTAATTCCTCCTGACTAATGGATGTCGGAAGATTGGCATTTGGTGTAAGGCAGGGCTCTGAGGGGACAAGAAGACTGCAGTGAAACAGACAAGCCCAAAGAATATTATATAATCAAATTATTTTAGGCCTCAACATAGAAAGATAAAATTAAATTGAGAACACTAAGTGAGAAATTCAGCTAATGTCCCCCTAAAGTTTATGTGTTTGAGACACATTGTAATGGAAAGTTACTGGGGCAACTAGGAGCTGCTGCCACTGCCTGGGAGGCAGCCTGATTTGAATCTATAGGTTGCCATAGTTACTTTTATTCTGTAAAACTTTTGTTTTCTTTATAATGATATTCTGTAACGTGTAATTCAAGGTATGTTTATATGTTCATGCATATATTATCTTTAATATTACACATTCATTAAATCCATTTGCTAGAAGATTAAACTATGTATACATTTAGGTATCTCTAGTAGTGTTTTAGGAATAGAAATTTGCATCCATCTCTGATTCAACATTTAGGTGACACATAGCTTGAGAAGATGAAAAGAAGAAGCATAGGTTTTAGCAAAATTTGAACCTCAGTTTAGGGTAGGAATTATCCAAGATAAGCTGAAAGTTACAGTGTTTGCTGTAATGTTTACAGATGTCATTCAAAAATGCCATGCTACTACAACGAAAGAATAAAGAGAGGCAAAAGATCTCTACTTCAATCCTGGCTCTGAAATTTGCAAACTGGCCTATGTTCGACAAATCACCTAACCTTTCTGAAACTCAGAGTTCTCGTATATAATACAGGGAAATACTCATGTGAAGGTACTAGATAATTATAAAATACCATAGCACTATTGATTACTGTTATTATTCCAATGTGCTTTCCTTTGTCACACAGCCCACAAGGATGTAAATTGTGAGATGAGGAAAAACGTGAAAAATAGGTAGTTCAGGCTGTACCTCATGCTAAGTAGAAATATTTCAATGTGTACGTAATTATACTCTTTAATTTCTTTGCTAATAGAATGTTCGGGTTTTAGCAACCTCCCCTTGTGAAGATGTGCTTGTCTGATCTACGTGTACAGCATCTGATATTTATATAGACTTTTGTTAAAAATACTGCCAGTGTCAAGACTGACTTTTCTACAGTGTTGCCATGGTCTTTTTTTTTTTTAAATGATAATTTTTGCATCTGTCAAGACACATATTGAGGGAGTCATTTTGCTCATTACCTGAGCTACCTCTATCATATATTCAAAAGAAGAAAAGATTTCCTTTTGTTATTGAAGTGAAGGACAGCAGTGCTGTCTGGATTTGAAATTTTTCAGGGAGCACATCCCATTACACAGAGTTGAGCTCTCTAGGTGCGTTCTTTCTGTACAGATACAGCTCTGAATAGCACTTTGAGTGTTTCAGAAATAAAAGAATGGAGTTAAACAGAAAAGGCCTGGCTGGTACTAAGACTGAGGAAGAGAGAGAAAAAGAAAGGAAGAAAGAAAAAAATGAGTCAAGGACAGAAACAGACACACTCATGCAGGATGATAGCCACACACATCCCTGAATAACACAACCACTCATTGAGCCATAGTGCTGCTAAGGACTGACAGGGAGGAGAAAAGAGACTTTCAGGGACAATGCATTACAGGGCAAAGTTCTAGGTTGATATGTGTGGTTATACACTGTGGTTTTGTAAGTCAGGCTGAGGGCGGAGAAACTAAAGCAGCAACATAAAATGGCTTTTATGTCCCAATTTAATGTAAGACATACAGTATATTCACCGACTCGTCTGCAGTGTAGAAGGGCCATCTAGAGCTGCTGCACGCCTGACAAAGGCCAGCCCAGATGCGCCCGCTTTCAAGTGCAGGGTGCAAGAGCACAACATTACTATAGTTTATACATAAAATCATCCCTATTTTCTGTGGATGCCAGATCACATCACAGAGTGGTAGGCAGCCTTAATGGGCATCAGTCAAATCATCGTATCACAATACCTCTGTCTTCACAGATGCTAACATTTCCCCTTGACTTGAATTATGCCCTGACTTCCTACCTCTAGTTTTAGAGGCAGTGATGCATTTTTGAGTAAAATCATAGATAATTGTATCACATAGGATCATCAGAAATGTTTACTACCACCTCTTACTTCTAGTCTTGGGTATGTGACTTAGAGAAATGAATGATCAGATTACACATTATAATCTAGAGACTCACTTTTATGGCAGGTGGGCAACCAGATCAATGGTCATAAGAGAGGTTATCCTTATGTAATGTGGATAACCTCAGATTTCATCTTATGTGCTTTAAAGGCACAAAGGCAGAAGGGGTGAATATCAAGGAATATATTTTAAATATGCACTAAAGGACCCTTTTTGTATCAGCAAAAACTGTAGAACAACCCTAAATCTGCCTTCATCAGACTTTCCCAACAATAACAT